AAGATTTGGATGCATAGGGAAGGATTGTTGTTTGTTATTCTGTAAAACTAGAGGTGTTCAGAGCACTCGAGAAGACGAGACCTGTGCCCTGAAAAAGAGCGATACAGAATTTGACAGCTAGAATACAAACAACTAAGGACTATGCACAAAAGTTTGAGTAAGAGGTAGCAGTTAGGAGATCTGTGTGAGAATGCAGAGCAAAAGAACTGAGAAGGTTTGTGAGAAGGATTGTGCTCTGAGAGGATTTGGGAGCCTGGCTACATATGTGCACATATAGTGTTTAATGAGTGTGTGTGTGTGGGGAGGCGGGGGGTGAATGAATCTGGTTATGCATGACCAAAGTAGGCAGTAGCACTTACTAAGCATTGAAAAACAGGTCCTGGACCTCCTACCTCTATACACCTATTGAAATTAAGCTCACAAAGTTTTTGTAAATTGACTTCTAATCTAAAAACATTGGTTTTGACAGTTTAAAAAAATCGGTGTTATATTTCAGCAGCTTTGAATGTTTTCTGCCTTCCTTATGCATTCTAATGCTGACCTGCATTTCCTTTGTCTTGACCTACCTCATCAGAGTGGACAATCTGCTGGAAGTAATTAAAAAGGCAGCTTTTGTTAGGTTTGAACCTGTGTGCACTGAAACCAATGTTAAAATTCTCACACCCCATTTCAGCAGTCTATCCCTATTCAGTGAAGTCCAGAAGCATGTGCCTAACTTTAAGCAACTGCTTAAGTGCCACAATGTGCTTAAGTGCTTGGCTGAATAGGAATAGACATAAAACACATGCTTAAATGCTTTGCTGAAATGGGGCCCCATTAACTCCAGTCAGGCACAATGAGAGACTGTGGAACCATCAGCAGTTATGGAGAAATTAAGACAGTTAAAGGTTTTATAGATCAAAGAAATGTAGGACTGGAAGGAAACTCGATAGGTTATTTAGTCAAGTCCCCTTGACTAAGTAGGACTAAGTATTCTAAACCATCTCTGGCAGATGTTTGTTTAACTTGTTCTTAAAAACCTCCAATGACAGAGATTCCATGACCTCCCTAGGTAATTTGTTCCAGTTATTAACTAATATTTGCTTTGTGATCCACTATAAGCCCCAGACCCCTTTCTGCAGTACTCCTTCAGTAATTTGCTATTTTGAATTCTAATTCTGTCCTCCAAAGTGCTTGCAATCCCTTCCAGCTTGATATTGTCTGCACACTTTATAAGTGTACTCTCTATGCTACTATCAATATCATTTATGTAGATATTGAACAGAACCATATTTCTAAAGCCAGCACTGAAAATCATATAGAATTTGGCCACTTGTAGTTTTAGGCTTGATTCTGTTCCCATTTACATGGTCTAAATCAGAAGTAACTCCTCTGAAATCAGTGGGGTTGCATTGGTGTAAAACTGCCATGAGTGAGAGTAGAATCAAATTCTTTGACAATTACTGTAGCTTTTATTTTACAAAAGTGTCACAAACTTCAGGAGGGAAATGTTTTGGGGAAAACATGCTTAGCATGTTTTGTTTGTGTGATTATTAATGATCAAATATAAAAATGACTTCACAGTTTATGCACACTCCATTGCGGGGAAAAATCACTTAATCTTTGCTCTTTCCCATCTTTGGGTGTGCTCCTTTTTGGCCAGGAAATTGACAGATCTAAAGAGAATGACTTTTCTGGAAGACGTGGTTTGTGCTTCTTGAATGGCTCTTGCTGTAGTTCTAAAGTCTTCCCATTAACAAAAAAAACAACAAAAAAACAACACACACACACACACACACACACACACAAAGAAAAAGGTAACAGGAAAACAAGAACCGAAACAAAAGGCTATTTCCCCCCTACATTATTGTCAGCAGGGATCAGCAGACACTAAAGAATTTCTGCATGCCAAGTGTTGAGAAGTTAAGCACATTAGAGGGCATGTCAGACATACTGAAATATAATGAAATGGAAAGCTGGAGGGGGGAAAAAAAACTTCTTAAATGTATTAATTCTATATTAGAGTGAATATTAAATGCCATTTAAAAGTATATGTCACTGGCAGCCTTTCACTGATTTTTAGCTTTCTACAAAATTCTGTATTGGTTCTCCTACCATGCTCATCACTGCAGTATCTGACTGCCTTCCAGTAGTACATTCAGCTATATGACAGACATCTGTCATGTGTTGTTCATTTTTTCCTCCTCTCCCCAGAGGGTGCAGTGTGTGCTCCGGAGTAAGTTGTTTGGTTTGGGGTTTTTTAATACACATGTTGCTATGTATTTGTTAGAGGTCAAAGAAATGCCCCTTGCACTTGGAGTGGAGAGTGACAAGCTTTGTGATGGTCCTTGGTTCCTGAGGGACCAGTTTACTCCACGTCTCTGTCTAGCCCCTGAGAAAGTTCTGCCTCCCATGGTTTATCCTTATTGCAGAGAGTTCTGTTTGGGCCAGAGGAATGAAATTGTCAACCACGGTCTTTATCCTGGAGCTGGAGGCAGTCTTTTAGATATCTTTAGCATATTGTCAAATACACAGGTATTAGCAGAAGAAAGTGTCATGTTCTTTCCCTGTCACTTGCCACAAACCTGTTAGTTTTACCCTAACAGCTTTCTTCTATGAAACTGTCTGGTAACATGCATTTGACTGTGAAAAGCCTTTTATAGGAATTGTAATGCTGTTATCTGCCAACTGCACAATAACTGGCAAGTTTGTTTTGCGTGACGGCATTTTCTATATGTAAAATATGAATAGACTATTTCATATTCAGGCAAGAAAAAGGTATTGACATGCAACAACAACTCAGATATTTTAAACGCTGTTGATCACACCAGTTTAGATCATTTTCAGAATTGGTTCTCCACTTGTTCTGCGACTTTTCTGCCAATTTTCTTCCTTTTTCTCTCATCGATTACTCATCCTTGGGTTCCAGTTGAAGGGACAGATGAACTGTAGAGACAGACTTGAAAGTATTAGTCAGCATAGTGATTCTTTCATGGAATGACTTAGTGGTAAAGGGACTTTCCCAAGTATAGCACTTTTGTTATTTGGTAACAAGTTCAAGTCAACAGTGAGTGCATAACATTAATAACGTGTGACAATCAGAATTCAGAGTGAAAAACATATTAGTATAACTAGAGCTGTGCAACACTGGGGGGCTTTTCCATGAAATTTGTGAAGAAAACAGGCAACTTCATTTTGGCTTGGTTCATGCCAGAAAACAATCTCCCCTCTCACCTCCTACTCCAAATTCTATGAAATTACACTGAAAATGGAAAATAATTCAGCTTTCTGTATTTTTGGTCTCAGATTTTCCTTTGTCTGAAAATAAAAGGTTAGAACTGGTTGCACTAACTCCAATAATTGCAAGATTGTGTCAGTTTGTTGCAGTTTTTAACACTTTTATTGTTGCTTTTAGTTTTATAAGTATTGAGTTCCAGTAACATCTTCAGAGTGCTAGATATTGCACAAACACAAAAGTTTTGTTATGAAACAGAATTGCAGATGTGCTAAATTTTCTTACCAATTCATATAATTAACTTTCACCAAAAATGTCAAACCTGAAAGTTCTTTAGGTGCCTAAATTTGGATTTCAGGACCTAACTTTAGGCATCCAGGTTTGAAAGTTTTTACTTATGGCTCACAGTCACACTAAACTGGGTTTCTTCCTACCAAATCACTAGCAATGTTCAGTGCCAAACTGTGAATCCAAGAAGGCAATAGAATTAGTCTTGTGTCCAGGGCCGGCTCCAGGCACCAGCTTCTCAAGCAGGTGCTTGGGGCGGCCGTTCCGGACAGGGGCGGCAGTTCCAGGTATTCGGCGGCAATTCGGCGGACGGTCCCTCACTCCGCCTGGGAGTGAAGGACCTCCCGCCGAATTGCCGCCGCAGATCGCGATCGCGGCTTTTTTTAGATCGCGATCGCGGCTTTTTTGTTTGTTTGTTTTTTTGTTTTGGCTGCTTGGGGCGGCCAAAACCCTGGAGCCGGCCCTGCTTGTGTCTCACAGTTCCCAGATTGGCCCTCAGTGCATGCCCAAGATTACTTTTATTATGATGATTATTTTTAGCAACCATGTATTTGTGATCCAAAGAGACAGTTACAGGAAAGCATATAAAATATACCTAAGTTTAAGGTTAAGTAAATAAACAGGGACATGAAACAAACAATGTAAATAGGAAATAACACAGTGATACTAAAACCCCATTGTTGCATTGGTACTAGGAGGCCAAGCCAATATATGGTGCATTAAATCAATTTTTAAACAAGTGGCAGTTGAGCCAGTCTATACAGAGCTTGAACAGACACACAAGAAGTATGGTAAGGCTACTTTGTATTTCTCTGAAAAGCTGGGTTTTGTGTTGATATTTTAGGTTGTGTGTCTTTGAGTTTTGCTCTTTTATAAGTAGAGAGTAATGGGTCTGCTAAAGTCCCTCCTTTTCTTGAACCAGTCTTGGTATTGATCAGATTTGGACTGTTTTTTTTCTGTATCTTGTATTAGACAGATAGATAGATAGATAGATAGATAGATAGATTTTTAAAAATCAGGAGAGAATATTAAGAAAAAACAAAACAAAAAGCAGAAGTGCAGAAAGATGAAGCAATGGGAGGGAAGGGAATGGAGAGCAACTTCTGTTTCCATCCATTAGAAATTAATCACAAGTATAGCTCATACTTCTTGTAACAACATGCTAAACGAAAGACAGTATTTTACAAAGCCACCTCTGTACTTAGAAGGTTATTGTGATGCAATGTTGTATCACTCTGCGGAGCTTCTTTATGGATTAATCATGCCTTGCCCCGACACCATTCAAGTCTATTAAATACTTCCTCATAGAGAAACGCACTTCACTCCAATGTTAAAAACATTCAGCTCTGCATAGTCATATATAGCGGGAGAAGTGTGCTTCTTTGGGGACACATATTGGGTCAGGATATGCCAGAGCAATCAAAAGGATAACAAAATGGTTAAGGAACTGAGCTGCAATAAACGACTGCTTTTATTCAGGCAATTTTTCTTCATACAGTGCAAGTTCCAGGGCCAGTAGAAAACCTGCGGGCTGTATCTACCTCACCTACCTCAATTCTTCTTTCCTGGGAACCCCCTGCCTATGCAAATGGTCCAGTCCAAGGTTACAGATTGTTCTGCACAGAGACTGCTACTGGAAAAGAACAGGTGAGCAAGTTAATGGAGCTGTATGCTCTTCTTTCAGTTAGTTGTGAGAGCAGGCTTTTGCTGCACGACGTGACAAAATTAGACAGGAAGGAGAAGAAGCGGTCAATCCAAGTGACCGTGGATATCTGTTCAGCTGCTTTAAACCTGTTGATAGTGGAAATTTTGGTGCTTCAATGGCATAACAGACTGGAGTGGTTACTCTTCAGGTTAAGTGCCTTGGAAATGTGCATTGAAAGGCAGTGAGTAGAGGGATTTTTTTTTCAAATCAAGTCTTTGAACTGTGAGAATTTACATGCTGCTGTAGCTGAATATTACATAGGCCTATTACAATGTACTTTAATATATAGAGGAACTCATTCTTTCACTTACACTGGTGCAAGACAGGAGTAGCTCCATGGCAGTCAATGGGACGGTCTATTGAAATCCACGTTAGTCTTATGATTTACTTAAATGGCAGCAGGATCAAGCCATATGGAGTCACACCAGCATACAATTGGTGTAAGCGGGAGAGAAACAAGCCCTTAGTTTACCTTTCTTATCAAAGTCTAGAAACAAAGTAAAGGGCCCTCCCCTTATAAAAGTTCTATAGATTTTTCAGACACTACTGATGTTAAGGGAAGTTTTACACAGGAAATGGGGGTAGATATGATCTAATTTATTTCCTCAGTGGCTCATTTTCCCTTTCCTCAGGGCCAAGTCCATTCTAGGAGTGTAAAATATATAAACCCAGTCTAGGCATTATCTGTATTTCTTACAAATGCAGGGCCAGCGCAACCCATTAGGTGACCTAGGTGGTCACCTAGGGCACTACAATTTGGGGGGGCAGCGACCATGGCGGTATTTCGGCAGCGGGACCTTCCGCCGCCTCTGTGGGGGGCGGCATTTCGAGGCGGGACCTTCCGCTGCCTAGGGCGGCAGAAAAGCTGGCGGCGCTCCTGTACAAATGAGAGAGATAAACAAAGGGAATTTGCATCATCCTTATTATTGGTGTTCTGCAATGACTGTGTGTTTTTATGTGGAAACATATAAGATCATGGTCTCAGCTCCAAGGATCCTGCACTCTAGCAAATAAAGAGTTTAAACAGTTCAGGCTGTTAACATAGTACATCAGTAGCTGATGTAAAGTTAAGGTGGCCTAGTGATCCTGTAGAGGTCATTGAGAGATGCTATGTGGATGAAATGTGACTTTAAAAAAAAAGAGAGATTTAGAGGAGGACAGTATAGTAAAATAGAGACTCCTTTTTTCTCCATCTGAGCCAGTTTAGTTTATTAGTAGCCTGTAAGAGTCACAGGCATCATAAATCCCAGCGTAGATTTAACTTGCTTCTTCACCCCCCAAAATCTTCTCTCTCTTCTCTTGTCTTCCTTTATTTCACACTCTCCTTTTCTCCTAGAATTTCCCCATGACTCATAGTCCTTATTTGCTCCTTTCTCTTCCCTTCTTCCTTTCCCTATCACTTTCTTATGGGAGAAGGAGTGATTGATTTAAGCAAGGAATCTTTCTGCTGTGCTTTAAATAACAACTAAACCAAAGGTCTAAGCACCAGAGTCAGCTATATCTTGAAATATGGCAGTTTAATATCAGAGAGTCTATTGAGAACTGAGCTGTAACAAGCAATGCTATGTTACAAATTACCTTTTACAGCAACTTAAATAAGGATTTAGCATTACCTCTTAGACAGAGAAAACCCCTACTGTCTAATCTATTCATCCCCCAGTATTACTGTCATACCTTCTTTAACATTTCCCCTTAGTAACGATTATCACTTTTATGTACCCAGAATATAGACGTTGATGGACTATCATACAAACTGGAGGGGCTGAAAAAATTCACGGAATACACCTTACGATTCTTGGCTTATAACCGCTATGGCCCTGGGGTGTCCACTGAAGATCTTACCGTCATGACGCTTTCTGATGGTAAGTTAGAACTACAGATGCCAGGATGGACAATGTAAGGAGAAGAAAAATGTGCACTTTGTGGATTAACATCACAGATCGCTATGTATAAAGTTTTATCCTGGGACCAGGACAAATTTAGGATTTCCTATACTATATACTTAGTTCAAGTCAATGATAGGCATGACAAACTAAATGAAAATTGACAACCAAAATGTAAACTATTAAATAAAATAAATAAATAAATATCTTCAGGTCTTTTTCAGAGGCAGAAATCGTAGATTCATTGTCTGCCCATTATATTGTTTCACAGGGTGTTTAGAGTCGTATCCCTCATGATCATTTGTCCTTTTCATTTTTCCTAGTTTGGTAGAAGGTTGTTACATAGCATGATGCTATCTCTACCCTCCCTTTCCATTTCCTGATGTTATACACAGGTTTGTCCTCACCACTTTTTAATGGAAAATATTTTATTATATCTGGTAATCTGAAGAAACACCTTTCTAGATCTTCCTCATATTTGGAACACTGGAGTAGAAAATGTCTGTTTTACTTTCTTCTCTGTCACAGTGATTGGATAGTCGCTCTTCCTTTGGCTTGCACTGTGCTTTGTGTCTCTGCATTCTTGGGGTATTGTATTGAAGTTTATTTTGTGCTTGGAAACATCTAATGCCTGATGTTCACGTGTAAGTGCTGCAGTGGCTCCTGATGAAGTCAGTGAGCCTGATTCCCACACTTGTAAATCAGGAGTAACTCCATTGATCAGTTTGGCTACAGTGGTGTAAAACCAGTGTAAATTATAGGAGAATTAGCCCAATAATTGGGTATACAAAAAATGGATCTGTGTGTCCTTCTGATGGTACCTTGATGACTTCTCAGGGTAGATTTTTTTACTGCTAGAAACTTGTTACAACTTTTTAGAGGAAAACAGAACCCTAAAAGTTAGTAGGGAGTAATTAATATTGGTGGTGGTAGAGTTGGATGGGGGGAGGGCAAAAAGGGGAAGGCGGGCATGAGATAAAACAAAGGTAGATGAGAATTTAAGAAAAGAGGTCCAGTTTCTCAGTGGGTATAAAACCCAGATGTCTCCAATGTCTTCAGTGGAGCAACACCAATGTACGCCATCTGAGAATCTGACCCAGAGAGAGAGCTCTTAAACTAAAAGATTTGCATTTGCATCCAAGGGCACCTATGCCTGAGTCTGAGTTTAAAAAATGATAAATTCCAGATGGTACAAAAGAACTATTTAGATGGGGATTTTTACAATTGCATGTAATCTGATTGCCGTGGTTTTTTCCTGTGTGTTTATGAATTTAGGTATTCAAATTACAGGCTCTGCTCCTGTCCTGTATTTGAATCACTGTTTGACTTAAGCTCACAATAGTTCTGTCTTTACCAGGGCTGTGTCTTCACTACAAAAAAGGTGGTTTTTTTACACTTAGGTAACTATCTTGCTGTAAAATCCTAGTGGAGACAAGGCACACACCCAGGTGGGGATATACAGTTGACCTTGACTAGCAGAACACTTAATTAACACATTTTAAAACACCACTTTGCAGCCAGTGGAGGCAAAGACATGGTGCATGTAGATCTATTAGCTAGCACACTTGCTATAAACATTTCCTTTTCCTAATCTAGGCAGTGCCTATGATGGAAGAAAAGATTTAAATAGATAAGGATGAACCCTTGTCTCAAGTTCTGTTGTATTTACAAATATTTCCCTTACTAAAAAACTAATATTTGCTAACCTACAGAATTGGTAAAAACACTATGATAATATTATTGTAGGTTGTAGTGTTTCAGACCATCATTGTAGTATCCTTTATAAGGTTCATCTGTGATACCCACACCTCATTTGGCACTTCAACTTTCAATTATTTTACATTTGATACCTCTTCAATATTTTTTTCAAGTACTACTTATGCCTATCCATCTAATTCAGTCATCACTTGTAATACAGATTGGATCTTGGCAGAATAAATTACTTCACACTTATAATTATAAAAACAAAAGGAAAACAAGTGAAAATGAATATTTTGCATAATTTATGTAGATATAATTCAGACTGTGAAGTGTAGTACTGTGGCTCTGTTCTCCACTTTGGTTTTAAATGTCATCATAAGTGAGGAAGGGAGAGATTGTTATTCATGAGTCTGAAAATTATCCTCTGCAAATTTTGTGAGAAGATTTCACCTCTTTGGGAGCACAAAATGTCACTAAAGAGAAGGCTTTCATGACACTATTTCAGAAAACAGAAGAATGGAGAATAGCATATGGCATCCCAAGAAGCATTTAACTTCTCTGTTGTTAAGCAAGGGGAGAAGGTGCGGTGCTGGTCTGAAATGAAATCTATTGGTACCAGTTTTACGTTGTTTTGCAGATGTGTACATGATGCAAGTGTGTAGATTTGCTTCATACTGTCCCCCCTCCCCCCGCAAGTGGGTTCCATTTTTGAGGGCCAGCTGGTGACTAAAAGTTACAAAAATTTCTTGCTCCAGAGCAAGCTTCTTGTCGGTTGCAGGTTCAGCTTACAGGAAAGGAGCAGGCAGGCAGTGGACATAGACGATGTGGTGTAAATTATCATGAATTTCTAAAACTAATTCAGCGCTCTTGGTTTTGGTTTTGTTGGTGGGGGTGAGCTGCCCAGCAGAGAATTAAGAATTTTACCCAAGTTCCTCTCCTCTTTTAGAGCTAACAGATTTTTCAATATCCAGGAGATATTTGTAAAACTATTGTAATGTTCTGTGGCAAGGACAGTCAAATTTTGATCCTGTCAACTTAGATTTTGTCCTTTTAACTCATCCCACTGAATACAGCAATTGCAGCACACACAGATGTAAAACTGCCCGTGGTGCTGCAGGGAGGTGTAAACTGTAGCTTTTTGCAACACTGGGGCCTTGGTGTAGTAAGGGGAGGAGAGGAAGGTGTCTTTAAGACATCTTTCCATTTTCCTGATCCTGGGGCCACTAGGAGACATTTAAGCCTTTGACATAATTTAGAGCAGCCTATGGACTAAATTATACCAGACTCCGTGGTGCCATTGGGACCACTCCTCTGGCCAAAGAAAGGCTGGAGCCTGGACTTTCTGGCCCTGCCCCCCCACTACATTCCCAAAGTGTGTGTGCGGGGGCGGGGAGGAGAAGTATATCTTTAGGACACCTTTTCAGTTGTTTTGCACTGCCACAATAGCTCAGAAGTGGTTGGTAGAGGGGCCTGGGATGTGACCTGCTATGTATAATATCATACAGTGATAGAATCATAGAATATCAGGATTGGAAGGGACCTCAGGAGGTCATCTAGTCCAACTCCCTGCTCAAAGCAGGACCAATCCCCAACTAAATCATCCCAGCCAGGGCTTTGTCAAGCCAGGCCCTAAAAACCCCTAAGGAAGGAGATTCCACCACCTCCCTAGGTAACCCATTCCAGTGCTTCACCACCCTCCTAGTGAAAAAGTTTTTCCTAATATCCAACCTAAACCTCCCCCACTGCAACTTGAGACCATTACTCCTTGTTCTGTCATCTGCTATCACTGAGAACAGTCTAGATCCATCCTCTTTGGAACCCCCTTTCAGGTAGTTGAAAGCAGCTATCAAATCCCCCCTCATTCTTCTCTTCCGCAGACTAAATAAGCCCAGTTCCCTCAGCCTCTCCTCGTAAGTCATGTGCTCCAGTCCCCTAATCATGTTTGTTGCCCTCCACTGGATTCTTTCCAATTTTTCTGTATTCTTCTTGTAGTGTGGGGCCCAAAACTGGACACAGTACTCCAGATGAGGCCTCACCAATGCCCAATAGAGGGGAATGATCACGTCCTTTGATCTGCTGGCAATGGTCCTACTTATACAGCCCAAAATGCCGTTAGCCTTCTTGGCAACAAGGGCACACTGTTGACTCATATCCAGCTTCCCGTCCACTGTAACCCCTAGGTCCTTTTCTGCAGAACTGCTGCCTAGCCATTCAGTCCCTAGTCTGTAGCAGTGCATGGGATTCTTCCATCCTAAGTGCAGGACTCTGCACTTGTCCTTGTTGAACCTCATCAGATTTCTTTTGGCCCAATCCTCTAATTTATCTAGGTCCCTCTGTATCCTATCCCTACCGTCCAGCATATCTACCACTCCTCCCAGTTTAGTGTCATCTGCAAACTTGCTGAGGGTGCAGTCCACGCCACCGTCCAGATCATTAATGAAGATATTGAACAAAACCGGCCCCAGGACCAACCCTTGAGGCACTCCGCTTGATACCGGCTGCCAACTAGATATGGAGCCATTGATCGCTACCCGTTGAGCCCGATGATCTAGCCAGCTTTCTATCCCCCTTATAGTCCATTTCATCCATTGATCTGAGTTCCCACAAAAACACTATGCACGGCGAAGGAGGGAAGGGAATTAAAGAGTGTGAAGCTAAAAATGATACAGTTAAGATGTGTAGGACCAAAGCTTATTACAATAATTTTATTTCAGTAGAATTTAGAGACTACAACCAAGATTAGGGCCTTATTCTGCTATGTACTATACAAACCAATAGTAATAGACATCCCCACCCCAAAAAACTTATGATCTAAATCAGGGGTCGGCAACCTTTCAGAAGTGGTATGCCGAGTCTTCATTTATTCACTCTAATTTAAGGTTTCGCATGCCAGTAATACATTTTAATGATTTTAGAAGGTCTCTTTCTATAAGTCTATAATATATAACTAAACTATTGTTGTATGTAAAGTAAATAAGGTTTTTAAAACGTTTAAGAAGCTTCATGTAAAATTAAATTAAAATGCAGAGGCCCCCGGACCGGTGGCCAGGACCCGGGCAGTGTGAGTGCCACTGAAAATCAGCTTGTGTGCCGCCTTTGGCACGCGTGCCATGGGTTGCCTACCCCTGATCTAAATAGATCAGACAGACAAAGGGTGGGAGATGGAGAGCAGAGACAAAGAGAAATTAAGTAGGAAGGCTGTATAGAGCAAGGGATTAAACATAGGTCTCCAAAATCCCAGGCTAGTGTTTTAACTACAGGACCAACCTTCCTCTTTA